TCTATCTATCTATCTATCTATCTATCTATCTATCTATCTATCTATCTATCTGTCTATCTCTCTCTCTATCTATCTATGTGTCTGTCTGTCTGTCTGTCTATCTATCTATGTGTCTCTATCTATCTGTCTATCTCTCTCTCTGTCCGTCTCTCTCTCTCTCTATCTGTCTATGTGTCTGTCTGTCTGTGTTCTGGGAGAGTAGTAGTACATTGTGGTGAAAAGCACTCGGTAGGAAGGCCAAAGCACTGTTGTTGTTTGGCACACCAAGAGTTTGGCAACGCTTGTGTTCCTGTGTCTCCATGCGGGGGATACGGGAACATATATAGTTACCTCTCTGACTCACTGAAACAATATTTGTAGAGACATAGTTATTGCGCCTGCCTCATTATGTGTGATGTTTTTACTCACAGCCATTTTATTGTAGAAGAGAACCACACCTCCATTCCAGGAAAAACAGAGCGTCACACAGAGTTTTGGCCCTCCCTGCTTCCCGTCCCCCCACCGTCTCTGTGTTACAGTAATGTCAGAGAGGACAAAGAGCTCAAGCCAACCCATAAGCAGGTCAACACCTGTGTGTTGTCGTTGTTTGGCAGCCCGGTGTTATTTGTTTTCCAGGAGTAAACGGATAGATACTTCAATTAGGACAGGAAGTGACCACGGAGCACTCTACGCACGCTGATACCTCAGTCAACTAAAACGTACCCAGCCTCGTTAGAGCTGAAGGCACTAACTCGTGCGGCCTTTTCTATTGAGCTGATATGCTGAACCATCAGCACATTGACTCCTACACAAAGTTAGAAATTCTAAAACACATCATTTAAAACCAAAAGCCTGTGTGAGCTGTTTGCTAAACACTGCCACTGAAATCAAACACCCAATTAGCATTCGCCTGTACCCAGAAAGCACCTGTGAAAACACTTGTAATCACTTAGAAATCAGAGCTTGAACACTATAAATAGGACAGCCTGTGTTGTGTGCACGACAACAGAGGACAATAAACTGTATTTAGTTTACAGTGCAACAGAGTAATTATATTCATGTCACCTTCATTTCAAGTAATTGTGTGTGATACTGGAGTATCGACAGTAAACACATTGCATCTACGTTGTTCATAATCTTTATTTAAAGCGTGCTACAAATCAAAATCAAAAAGACTCGAGATAAAAGTCTTATACACTTCTAGTCAGTTGGCATGTGTACAGTTGGCATGTGGCAAGAGCTATTTATTTTGCATTTGTGTGTTAAGTTGTGAAGCAAAAATATAATTTTTAGAAGAGATTATGCCAGACACCTCGGAAATACAATATCTTTGACTTGCTGCTAGAAAAACTACGATGGAACGCCACTCAAAATCAGAGTTCCTACTTGTAAACTCCATCTACCCCGACTTCACGAAGAAGTTATCTTCTTGTGTTATCTGACTTCACACAACATCGGGAGGGTACATGGTAAATGGTAAAACCATCAACTAAAAGGCAACGTAAAGTATATTTAGCTTGCATTTAATTAGAATAATACAGACAATCACACACCAAAACCTGTTCTGCATGTAAACTGATGTAAACAATATTTCTCCCCTGTTATAAGGTAGCTGCTTACATTTAACAGTCACACGGTGAACAACTGTGAAAATGCCCCCCAAAACATGTGGAGGCTGTACTCAAAGAAACATCACTTTGTCACGGTCAGCCATGTTTGTTTTTGGCATTGTGAACCCGGAGTGTCTGGAAGGCAGCATTATATAGTTTTGAACCTGGTTAGTTGTGATTTCTCCTTCGTTGAAACAGGTGTTTGTTGTTTTTGCGCTGATTCTCCACACATGAACATGAAGTCGGGGTGCACGAATAATCTATTTGCAGCTGAGAAAATGGTTCTTGCCTCGGCTGTCACAACCCCCCCCGTCCTCATTACCCACCGCTCACCCATCCATCACCCTGCCCACAGAAGAATGGCGAGAAATTGCCACCAGCCTCCCGCTACATCTGTGGGAAAAACAACACAGGCATCCGCACACCAACGGCTACACACTCTTCCTCTTGTCCCTTTTCACAGTCACACCGTTTAATTAATTCCCCTCTCGTTGTTTATGCGTCTCGTTCTTTTTGCTCTCTCCTTGTTGAATTTCAATAGTGATCTGCTACAAAAGTGCCAGATGGTAGAAACGAAAAAAGAACAGGAACATCCAAGAACGCACCTTGATCACAATCTTCTCTCTCAGTGCATGTTGCTCACTTAAGGAGGGAGATCGCGTTTGTGGGATTTTTATATACAGATTTGTTTTGGACATGGCCCCTTAAAACTTGTTAATGGCGCATTATTCATCAGAATAGTTTGTCATCTTCGGCTATAATTCCATCTTTTATGGGAGGGACAGCTGTTTTTAGAAGCCCCGCAGGATGTCTTTGGGCTCGCCCACGCAGTGTGTACTTGGAGTTAAACCGTTTGTGCTACTGTGTGGACTTGAGTCACATGACTTCAGGGCTTGCAGCTCTCTTAAACACTAATGGCTCGTGACTTTAGACTTTACTCTTTTGATTTGGAGTGACTTGGTATCCTTCCCAAGCATGAAGAATAAAAATGATGCTATTAAAAAGAAAGGAAATCAATTCCCCGTTTTTCCATCATGTTACATGAGCGTGAGGGGAAAGGTCTGGTTTGACAGTCTAGAGCAGCGGGCAGACATATTCACTTTGTAGGATTTGGGACTTCATAGCCAAGACTTTTTTTGTTTTTTTCTCTGGCAATGTGTACGGAGCAATGGTTTTACAAGCTCACGGATACACACGATGCGTTTTGGCATTTCTTGTTTGTTTACAGGGAAAACTCCACGGGGCACCTTTGAACGCTCGGTCAGCTTCAAAGGCCTGGGAACCATCATGGAGAGGGATGTGAACACAGTTTATTGCGCTAACCAACCCATCTTTCCCTTCACAGAGACAGAGACATATACTCTGTATTCTGATCCCGATACTCCTTCGACGAAACGGATCATTTCAGATATATATATATGTGCATATCCACGCTTTATGATTCGGGATGACACGGCAGATCTGTAGTAACCCGATTCCCTCTGCTCCTCAACACTCTCTTTGTCCTTTTAACAGTTCATCGATTGAGTTTTCTCAAACACAGAGCAGTCTTCAGGAGGAAAAAACTACTTTGAATAACAAACATAGAAATAAAATAAAACAATGATAAATGAATCCCACAAGAGTGGTCCTTTCCATCCCCGACAACGGCCATAATAACAGCAATGCTATCAGAGGAGAAGGAAAAAAGGAAAAGGATTTACATTTGGTGAAATAAACACAAACTCTCTTACCCTTATGAAGTCATTTATGTTTGGTATATTGTGTACATGTACCTAGATTATATTCAAATATATATATATATATATATATATATATATACCTATATAGTGTGCTACAAGCGCCCGTCAGCATTGAGTATGTGTGAGTGTACAAATGAACAGCATGTAAAGAGCAGCATGTTGACAGGTGTCCATTTGAATGCAAGAAGAGAGAGGAGAAACGGTGGGAAGGCGGGGGCGGTGGGAAGAGAGAGAGATTGTGTGTGTGTGTGTATGTGTGTGTGTGTGTGCGCAATACACGTGCACTGTAGATTTTGTTTGTGGGAGCAGAAAGTGGAGAGAGAGGATGTGAATGGGTAAGAAAAAGGGAAAGCGTGTACGAGGGAGGTAAAGTAGAAGAGAGTGGTCCACCCATGTGTTATGTAAGTGTTGTGAGGCATCTCTCTCTCTCTCTCTCTCTCTCTCTCTCTCTCTCTCTCTCTCTCTCT